TTAACACAATGTAAGTTGTGGATACTTACCGAACTAGCACGACACTCCCAATTTGAAAACTAAGTTGAAAAATGCACTTTTCTCACACTTAAGCTTGAAAATAAGCCATATGGGGCCAAAATCGTGTAATAGTCACGAGACGGCCCGGGGAACACCTAAAACACCTCGGGAGGGACCAATATAAGTTGTGAAAACTTATGGAATTAGCACGGAACTCCTGGTTTGAAAACTAAGTTGAAAAATGTATTTTTTTCACACTTTAACTTGAAAATAGTTTATACGGGGCCAAAATCGTGTAACAGTCACGAGAAGGCCTGGGGAACACCTCAAATATCTCAGGAGGGACAAATGTAAGTTATGAAATCTTACGGAACTAGCATGGGACTCCCGGTTTGAAAACTAAGTCGAAAAATGCATTTTTCTCACATTTAAGCTTGAAAATAGGCCATCAGGGGCCAAAATTGTTTAACAACCACGAGAAGGCCCGGGGAACACCTCAAACATCTCGGAAGTGACCATTGTGACTTGTGTAAACTTACGGAACTAGCACGAGACTCTCGGTTTGAAAACTAAAGTAAAAAAATACATGTTAAATTTTATATTTAATTGATAAGATAATAATTGTCTAACTTGTATTTTTATTATTTTTATTTTTTTTATGTTTTGTTTTGTTGCAGATTCGAGATTAGATATGGACATGTTTGGTAATCTGGAGAGCAGAAGTTAGTTCATTTTGTGTTTTTCTTCATTTTACCTTACATGTATTTTGGTTACATTGTAAATTTTATATTTTTATGAGTATTACAGGACATGTTTGGTCATCCGCACTTGATATTATATTTTTGTGGATATTAGTAGACATGTTTTTTGTGGATATTAAGAGACGTGTTTGGTAATCTGTATGCGGTTGATATTGTATTGTTGTGGATATTAGTAAACATGTTTTTTGTGGATATTAGGAGACATGTTTGGTAATCCGCATGCAATTTATATTATATATTTGTGGATATTGTGTTGAAATTCGACTGTGGTGTTTATGAAAATGAATAGATTTTTGTATTGAATTGTAATAGATATTTTTATTGAATAGGTTATTGAAATGCGCAAGGAATTTTTAGTGAAAAGAAAAATTTTAAATTGAAAATATTATCCCTATTTTAAATTTTTTTAATTATTATTAGCGATGAAAAAAAAATGTCGATATTAGTTTTAAAACAACATGACGAGTGATTCTATCACTAATGATATAGTACTAAACAAATAATTTTGTCACAGTCGTTGAATATTTCGTCACTGAATTGAAATATTTGGTGACACATTTTTTTTTATCATTGAAGAATTTTATTTTGTATTCATTTTAGTGACGAATTTTTTTGTCATCTTAATCTATATCATTGGTGAGGAAAAATTTCGTCACTAAAACTTATTTGGTGACGAAATATTTTGTCGCCAAAATAATTAAAATAAAATATTATCTAATTCTAGTGACGAAATTGATGTTACAGAGGACGAAAAATGCAACATTTGAAGATGAAAAATTTCATCGCCAAAAATGAAAAATAGGCGACGAAATTATTTTTCGTCACCAGGTACTTTTAGCGACAACATATATGCAATAAACGTGGTGGCAAAATTTTTTCGTCACAAATCACTTTGGTGATGAGAATTTGATATTTGGAGACAATTAATCTGTCACCAAAGACTTTTTTTTTGTTGTAGTGTCTTATTAAATCTGTTTTGTCCTCTTTGCGAATTTTTTACATGTCACTTTTTAAGATTCCTGAAAATGTCGCTAAGGAACTTGATAGGTTGCAAGCAAAATTTTTGTGGGAAGGTTCAGAAGTTAGGAAAAAAATTCATTTAGTAAAATGGAAGGAGATTACAATGGACAAGCAAAAAAGAGGTCTAGGGATAAGAGATATCAGGCTCACAAACCAGTGTATGCTATTCAAATGGTGGTAGAGGTATGCAATTAAAGATGATGCATTATGGAAAGCAATAGTTTGTTGCAAGTATGGATTTGCTGGAGGGAAATGGTTGCTGTCTACTAATATAGCAGACATAACTTCTAAAATATAGGGGGATATAGTGGAAGTATCACAATCAAATCCAAAATTATACCCTATTTTTGGAGAACATGGAAATAACAATAGGGAATGGGAAAAGAATAATGTTTTGGATTGATAATTGGATAGGGGATTCAAGTGTTTGTACTAAATTCCCTAGACTTTATCAGTTATGCACAACAAAGAAGGCTTCTCTAAATGAGTAGATTTCAAGAAAAGACAGTTCAGACAGATGGTGCTTCAGTTTTAGAAGAAATCTACATGCTTGGGAAGAAGAAGATTTAGTAAAATTCATTGATTTGTTGGGAACAGGGCCCAGGATAGGAATGGAGATTGAGGGTTCTGTGAAATGGAAAAGTGATCCAATAGGTGGGTTCAAGGTTAGAAGTGCATATAAATGGTGTGATATGGATTCTGTACCTCTACTCAGTTCTGCTAGATTGATATGGAACAATTTATTTCCACCTAAAGCCAAATTCATTACTTGGTTGGCAGGGAAGGGTAGACTTAAAGGCTTTTCTACACCGAATTGGAGTGTTGAGGGGGAATGCGGATTTACATTGTGTGTTTTGCAAATCTGATTTGGAATCTTCTAATCATATTTTATTGCTCTGCCGTTTTGTATGGAAGGTGTGGGTAAGCATAATTGAGTGGTGGGGGCTGGAGTGGGTAACACCAGATTCAATAGAGTGTTTAATACAATGGTGGTTGAGTTGGAATTTTAATAACAAAGAAAGGATGTTTTGGAGATCTATTCCCTCAGCAGTGCTTTAGTCTGTCTGGAAATGCAGAAATGAGTGTATTTTTTCTGCTAAGCATCCAGATTTGGTGGCGTTATGTGAGACAATTAAGGTAAGGTTAGCACTTTGGTAGAAATCACATAATTTTGGGTGCCTTTATTCTGTAAATGATATTGTGAGGAATTTTCAGGTGGTGAAACAAAGCATGTAAAATCAGATTGGGTGCGAAGATGCATGGGTAGTAGGAGCAAATGTCCCAGGAGAGTAACAGCAGTATTGTGGGAGGGTCTGGTACATTCTTTGTTCTGAATTTCTTCAGCAAGGTAGGAGAGCAGTAGTATTATTCTGTCATGGAATTGGTATGTAATCTTCACTGTCCTGCTGTGCAGCAGATGTAGCAATATGGGGCTAGTTTGGAGAATTGTTGCTTTGGTGGGCTGGGGGTTCTAGACTTGGTTTACCTGAAGTGTGGTGATCAAGGAGCATCAGTGCTAAGGATTAGTGGTGTTTGTTATTTTTGTTGTTTTTTGTGGTTGTGTTTTGGTTGGTCACTCACTAGCTTGATGCGATGCTGCAGATGATTAGGTTTGTTTTATGGTGCCAATCTAGTTAGGATCATATTATTTAGCTATGATGCTTGTGTATCCATCATTTTTATTGATGTATGGTGTAATTCATTATTCATCTATAAAATTTCTCTATTGCTGATAAAAAAAAATATATCATAACTAGTGTTGATACACTAGTTAGTATATTAATTAGTGTATGTAGCACCACCGATCATACAATCATGGTTTAACACAAAATCAGATTGCATGACTTAAAGAAATCAAGTGGTCTAATTGCCTTTTCAAATTCATTTTTTTTGTAGTGATTACATTTTTCAAAGATTATGTGCGATTTTATGCACTTATAATTTTCCATCTCTTTTAGAATAGAATACGCTACATATATCGGACTAAGCCCACTTAATTATGAGTCCATTTCACTTTCCCATGAACTGAAGCCCACAAATTACATGGTTCCTTAATCATGGTTCTTATATTTCCTTCAAATAGATGCAAAGCCTGCTAATAAAAGTCCACCAGAAACAATTAAATCCAAATTTCAAAAAACAAATACCCATTTGAGGACACACTAAAAATAATACAGAAAACATTATAAGAATAATATGATAACGTTATTTTTTTTGTAAATAAAAGTCATGTTAATGGAAATTTTATTTTTAAAGTGAAAGATTTACATTAAGTGACATAATTTTATGCAAAAATTCTATGTACATTTCTATTGGGTGGCCATATTACAAGTCTCATTTCAATGATCTGAATCGTTTATTTTATAAGATTTTCATTTATAAAAAAAAAATTAAGTCAATCCGAGAATAGTAATATTTTTATTTTATTACGTTTATTTTCAACAAAATGAATGATCTATTTCAAACACACACTTGTCATTAATTTTTTTATTTTATTTTTAAAATGCCTCATTTTAAAGTTTTGGAAAATTCTACGGTACTCAAAAAAATTCAGAAAATTACCATGACTTTTTCATCCATGGTGTGTATTTAAGCTTGGTGTAGTTTGGCTAAATTTTAAGTAAATCTTGACCATTAATTTCAATTTTAAATGATCTTTTAAATTTTTTATTCTAAATTTGTAGTAGACCTGTGAAGTTTTTTATTGCTTAATCTCGAACAAAAAAGAACCGTCTCAAATATCCATATTCTAACTAAATTTATTTTTTACTTGTGCCCATCCAATTACAAATTCAAATTTTTACACTATTTAGAATTCAACGGTGCTAGGGATCCAACACCCCCAGTAGGCCAAAATTTTTTTTTTTTCCTTCTAATCACACGGTGCCACGTGACACTAGGGTCACTGGGATTCACTAGAGTGGGGTCTTAAGCTTTATTCATTTAGAATTATCAATCAGTAGACTCATACAACACCAATTCAATCTTCACCGCACCATTACATTCTAATAATTTCATTCATATACTCTGATATCATGATCTCTCCCATACAGCCTAAAAGTCTACTAAATAAGACATATAGGCCCTCAAAACTCTCATTTGCCAATTTTAACGTAAAAGATCGTTGCATGGTAGTTACAAATGAGAGGCTCAATATAGAGAGAGAAAGAAAAACACAACCATAAATATAGACATTTGAGATAGAGAGAGAGCCCACAACGGACGGGCCTGCGAGACGGCTGCCGCCAAGCCCTCCGCTCCCAATCCCTCCCTTAAAGCCCCCACAAACAGCACCGCCACAACCCCGTTGGGCAGGCTCGTGCCGTTCCTTCAAATCAATTTACCAAAAAATAAAAAGAAAAAAATTAACTCATTCCTACGCCACGGGAACGTGTTGTGTTGTGTTTCATTCTCTATATTTTTTCACATCGCCTCCACCCCATCCAAACCCCTCACCTGACCGAGGCGGTTCGTTCATTCGCTCCGCCACGGTCACCCACTACAAGTTGGTGTTAAGACTTAAAAAGCTTTTACTTAAAAGCTTAAGAGTTTTAACACCATCTATCATCAGTGTTAAAACTAAAAAAGCTAACATTTTAGCTTAAAAGTTTTAACAGGACGACCAAATCTGAATTAAAATTTAAAAATCTTTCCGTCCATCACCACCACCAAAAAAGTGTATACTTGTACCATGGGAGAGCCACCGACTTATGGGAAACCACCGGTAAATTCGCCACCATTGACGACGTCATCTTCCGAGTCAGAAAAAGAGGAGTTGCAGAGGCTAGAGCACGCGCCGCCGTTCTGGAGGAACCGAAAGAAGTTGTCGAAGCAGTTGTCGATGTGCGAGACGCCTCGGGATACTGCGTGGGAGAGGCGGCGCCGCCAGATACTCCGGCAAGAGAGGAAGAAACAAGGGATCAATGATTCAGAGGTTTTGACAGACGATGACCTGAGCGAGCTCAAGGGTTGCATAGAGCTAGGATTTGGGTTCAATGAAGAGAATGGACAGAGGCTGTGCAATACATTGCCGGCGCTTGACCTTTATTTCGCCGTGAACCGGCAGTTTGCGACGAGTCCTCTACAGTCGCCGAATGGCGGAGGCTCGTCGACGTCGATAGGGATCTCGTCGACACCTGCCGGAGACTCGTCTAGGTCGCTCGGAAGCCGGTCGTCGTCCTTCGATAGTCCAAGGAGCGATGATTCGTGGAAGATTTGTTCCCCAGGTTAGATTTTCATTCTACTACGAATACAGAAACTAAACAGAGAAAAAAAAAATGAAAAATATTTATTTGAAAAATGCTTTGCAAATAAGATTTCTATACAAGAAACCCATATAGAAATGTGTTATTTTTATTTTTTTTATAATTATAAGGTACAATGGTTGAAACTTTATTTTGAAATGAAAGTATAAGAGAAAATCACATTATTCTGTATAAAATTTTTATTTATATACCACATTCTAATAAATGAAAAACAAGATTTTATACAATTTTTTTAGTAGGATACACTTTGAAAAAAAATTATCCATTCATAAATATACATTCCTAACTTAGTCTTCATTTTATATCTAGTATTTAAAAGACATTATGCTTTCGTTTGACATAAGTTAAAATGAGATTTTTTTGACTAAAATAATCACAAAAAGACAAATTAAGCTTTTTAATCTAATAAGATAAAATGTCACATCTAAATCATAATCATTTTATTTATTCTCTTACAAAAGTAAAAAAAAAAGAAAAAGTCTATTTCAAATGAGATTTTTTAGCCACGAGCTAAAATAACAAAAAACTAAAAAGCCAATCCACATCCCAAACGAACCTATATGTAATGTTTAATAACTACATTTTGTTATTATATTTTGTTTATTACAATATATGTCATCACTCTAATTCAAAAAAAATAAAAATAAAAATAAGAAGAGCAAAGTCTGTTGTGATAGATATAGTTAAGCATCAATGGATGGGATTTAATGCAGGGGATAATCCTCAACAAGTGAAGACGAAGTTGCGGCATTGGGCTCAAGCAGTGGCTTGTTCTGTGATGCAGTCATACTAAAATGAAGGGATGGATGGGTTGTGTACAGAAACAGAAAAAACAAATGAAAATAAATAAATAAATAAATAAAATGAAAAAAAAACAGAATTCAGAAACAGAGAAGATAGAGAGAGATGATACAGCGCGTGCTAGGGTGATTTTCACATGCGAATGGTGCATGTAGTAGCTTTCTGGGCTTGAAATGCAATAAATGGAGTGGATTGATTTGCTTCCATGGTTTGAAGAAACTAAAATTGCTTGTACTATCCTCTAGTTTTTTCTTTCTTTCTTTTTTTAATATTTTAAAATCAGATATTGTTTGGACACACGGGCCTCCTTATATGGACCAAAATTTGTGTCATGTGAAACACCACACCACTAATAGGAAAAATGAGAGTTGAGATCAGGGTTGGGAATGTTTTTATGAAAAGTTTATACCATCCTTTGATCGACTCTTTCATGCTTTCATTGTATAACGAAGAATAGTTGCGAAAAATGGGTTGTTGTGGATTCAAATGTAAACATGTAATTATTGATTTCCCATATTAGCCAACAAGAAAATTTATGATAAAACAAATATCATTTGATGTATTGAATTTCAGGGTCTCGAATATGATAATTTGTTTCTTACTTGCAAACATCATTATGGTGCTTAGGCGAACCCACTGACACAAAGATTTTCAATCCTGTGCTCCAGCGAGCAGAGCTACTTGAACCACCTTATTACTTGCCAGTTAAGGCTAATAAACCAATTTTAATTCAGATAATTTGATCACTTCTTCCTTTATTGGAATTGTTATCTCTGCTACTCTCTATTTTTGAATTCGTACCTTTTAATAGCCCCAGTCTAGAAACCATAGTCTCTAAAGGTGTACATTTGGCCTGGCCCGACTTATGTCGAGCCTTGTAGGCTTCTGCCAAAATTCAGATTGAGCTTGAGTGGACCTGAACAATTTTTTTATTTTTTCTATCAAAAATTTATTATTTTTCACTAAAAATGACACTGAATCTCGGGCGAGTCGGGTCTCGGACCGGACTTTGTGTGGGCCGATAAACCGGATTTCAAAATGACAGTTCACGTCCAGATCTAAAATCTTGGGCTGGGGTCGCGCCTAACTAGGCTGGGCCCACCCCAAACAACCCACAAACTACGGGTGAATTTCGAGCCCTCCACAATTCCCAAGCCATTTTTACATGGTCTCCAAGTTTGTTGACAAAACTCTCTTCAAACTTCATATCAAAGTTTTCTGACCATTCAAGGTTCACGATGACCAAGTTTGTTGACAAAACACTCTTCAAAGTTAGGGGTTGTTTGTGTGTCTTAAATACTTTTTATCTTTTTATATTAAAAAATTAAAGAAAAAAATATAAATATTTGGGTTAATTTTTTGATTTTTTATGAAAAAATGTGTATTAAAAATTTGTATAAATTAGTGTGTAGGGAAAAATGTGTATTAAAAAATTATATGAATTAGTGTATAGGGAAAAATTAGAATTGAGAGTTGTGCAGTCGTAATTTTTGACTTTTAGTGAATAGTGATAACTTTTTAACTTTTTAACTTTTTTTTTAACTTGCCAAACTTGACCTTAATATTAGGGGTGAGCAGCGGATATACCGATCCGCCAAAACCGACCGAACCGAACCAATCCGCCGCATTTTGGACGGATGCGTGATGATGAGCGGACGGTTGCGGATTGATTTTCTCCAATCCGCCAATTTGGCGGACGGATGGCGGATTTGAGATTTTTTGGCCGCAATCGAACCGCCAAACCGCCAAATCGCGAGCACCTGTAGTAATTTATAAGACTTTGTATTTTCAATTTGTTTAAATATTATGTTTGTGCTTTCAATTGAAAAAGAGTTTAAATATTCTGTTGAAAAAAAGTTTTCAACTTGATTATATTTTTGAATTGAAAAAAATAAACGTATTATTCATCTATATTTTTTAGTTTTTAAATCTAACTCTAAAAATAATAAATAGAAAATATGATATATGTTGGTTGGTTTTTGTTTTCAAAAACATATGTAGATGTAACAATATAGAGACATTCAATCTCTACAACTGCTCTGTTTATGGTTTTGGTAGTTTGAATTGTTATTATATTTTAAGAATTACAGATTGTAATACTTTATAGGGATGAATCATACTGTGATTGTAATATGTGGATGAAGCATGTAGTGATCGTGATATTCTAAAGTTTCAAACTTTCTTTCTTTGGATAAGGCATACAGTGATTGTAATACTTTTTTAAGTCATTGACTGTAATACTTTTTTTTTTACTTTTTTTTTAAGGAAGTGCACAAGTTGAATTATGTTGAAAATTTATAAAATTTTAAACCGCCAAACCGATTCGCATCCATCCGCCAAACCGCCAATCCGCTCAATCAACATCCGCTGGATTGGCGGATGGATGCGGATTGATTTTCTTCAATCCGCCAATCTGGCGGACGGATGGCGGATTAGAAGTTTCGTGGCCGCAACCGACCCGCGCCCACCCCTACTTAATATTATTGTTGACCATAGGGAGAAATTTTTTGTATATTGTATTATGTATTTTTTAGAATATACTACAACAACTTGGGCAAGCTTACAATAATAGTCAAAATGTCAAATAAGTATGGGTAAATTACATTGACATCCCTTGAGGTTTGGTTTAATTACTATCCATCTCTTAACGTGTTGGAAATTATATTCTCACCCCTGTGATTAATAGTCTCATTTCACAAACCTCCTGCTTATATAAAAGGTAACAACTCTTAGTAGAAAAACAGAGGAAATTACTTTAAAAAAAAAAAGGTAAAGGAAAGGGGAAAAAAAAGAAAAGAAAGTAAAGCAAAGTAAAAAAAGAGAGAGTGCATGAGTTCAATGTTTTCATTCCGTCTAAATAATTACAATGACAGGGGGTTAGTGTAATTTCCCAAACGTCAGGGATGATATGTATTAAATCTAAACCTCAAGGGGTGTAAGTGTAATTTACCCAATAATTATCAAAAGAGTTAAAAAATTATAAGAAAAAATCAAAAATTTAATTTTTTTCTCTATAGTTTTACACTTTTTTTTTTTCGTAAAACCAAAAAATATTCCAAATATACTATTTTTTTCATTTTATATTTTAGTCAAAAAAATTAAAAAAATTACTAAAATAATATATTTCTAAACCAATCCTGAGAGAGTGAGAGTCACATAGCATAAAAGGTAAATTACACATTGACACCAACGTATAAAAATATTTTATTATGAATAACTCTTAAGGGTTGTTTGGAATGATTTAAATAAGTACATTTTTTATCTTTTTACGAAAAGATATGCAGAAAAGTAGAGAGGTGATGTGATAGAAAAAAGATAAAAAAATAAAAAGATGAATTATTTTAAGGATGCCAAACTTGACCTTACATTTGATGCAAACTCCAATTTTAATATAATAATATTTTTCAAATTTAACATAATAATATTTTTTTATATCATGTGACAAATAATATTACTTTTTAATATAATTTTAAATAGAAATTATTAACTTGAAGAATAAATTAAGGAAAATTTAAAACATGAACGATCAACAAAAAAAGAAAAAAAAAATAAAAATAAAAATAAATAGTCACTCGAGTCATAAATTCAAATTATTATTTTCTTTATCCAAAAGTTCACCATGAAACATTATATCCATAAGATCAAGCTCCTAACCAAAAAAAAAAACCCCTTCACTTTATTTTGGGTATGCTTCATTTGTGTTTTGAGATAAAATTTCAAAAAAAAAATTAGAGAAAGAGTTTAGAATTTTTTTTTAATTTGTTTGGTTGTATATTTTGAAAATAGTTTTGGAGTTTGAGAGTTTGGGATAATTTGATATTTTGTTGTAATTGAGTAGATGTATGTAAGAAAAAAGTGATTGAGAATGAGAGAAAAGAGAAAAAATATGATTAATTGATGTATAGGAAAGAGAAAGTGCTTTTAAAAAAAAAATTCAAAAAATTTAAATCAAACAAAATTTTAAAAATCTTTCTCAAAAATTATATCTTGAGATATAAACCAAATTAACCTTTTGTCTTTGTGATTCTGTGGAGGTGTTTGGGAAGTAATTTTTTTGGCTAAAATAGCACTAAAAGACAAAATAGGCTAAAATAGCCAATAAGATAAAATGTCACATCAAATTCATAATCATTTCATTTTTTCTCTTACAAATATCATATCCAACTACAAAAAAATCAAACTATCTTCCCAAATGTTTGGTTTGGTTTTGAGAGTAGTTTTTAAAAATTGTTTTGGGGAGAGAGTTTAAAATTTTTTTTAGTTTGTTTGGTTGTGTATTTTGAAAATAGTTTTGGGGTTTGGGAGTTTAGAATGATTTGATATTTTGTTGTAATTGAGTAGATGTGTGTGAGAAAAAAAAAAGTGATTGAAAAGGAGAGGGGAGAGAAAAAGAGTGATTGATTGATGTGTAAGAGAGAGAAAGTGATTTTGAAAATTGTTTTGAAAAAATTACAAACAAAATAAGTTTTTCGGAAAAAATTTGCCAAAATCACTCTACAAAGCCAAACCAAACATACCCAAAAATTCTAGCCTCTTAAAATAGTCAAAAACTAAAATAGCAACTTTCTAAACACCCAGGGTGTGTTTGATTGGACAGACTAAATAAGAGAGGATTAGAATCCATCGGACTTGAATCTTGGGACTGTGAATCCTCCGGACTATTTGGTTGGATTGGATATGTATCCTGTATTTACTTTCTCATGGGATTAGATGTCTGGAAATGACTATTTTTAGTGAATCCAATATTCGGTTGGACGGACTGGATTAGGGATGGCAATTTCAACCCGGCCTGACGGGGACCCGATCCCCCGAACCCGATTAGAATGGTTTTTCTCTGAAAAATACCCCCGCGGGGATCGGATGGTATTCAAAATTGAATCCCCGATCAGTTTCGGGCCGGGGACGGGAATAGCTTTCACAGCCCCGGATCCAGCCAAGCCCCTGCCTTGGCCCCGTTTCCCCAATGTGAAATTACTGTTATGCCCCTATATATATATAAACTAAACCCTAACATAACACAACCCTCAAGCCTCACCGTCTCTCTCTCTCTCTAACCCTCTCATCACCACCACCGATCGATCTCTCTCCCTCCTTCCGTTGTAAGCATCATCAAACACTCTTCAACACACACACTCTCTTCGACGCCACCGCCGCTGTCTTCCCTCTACTCTCTCGCCTCTCTCTCTAGATTCTCTCTCTCCTTCCCCCTCTAGATCTAGGGTTTCGAACCCCTAGATCTGTGTTTTGCAGATCTGAGTTTGGCTTTGCCGGTGGCTTTTCCAGATCTGTGTCTTCCGCTGCCGTCGTTGCCATTTTCCTTATCGTCGATCGTGAATCCGTGATGTATGTATATGTCTCTGTTTGTGTTTGTGAATCCGTGGTTTGATGTATGTATGTATATGTCTCTGTTTGTCCATTTTTTTTTTAATCTGTGATGTTGAAAATGAAACAATTGATAATGATAGTGGATTTGTTGATAGTGTATGTATGTAT